TCATGCCAGTAATCCCAGCACTTTGGGAGGCCAAGGTGGGTGGATCACTTGAGGTCAGGAGTTTAAGACCAGCCTGGCCAACATGGTGAAACCCCAACTCTACTAAAAATACAAAAATTGGCTGGGCATGATAGCACACACCTGTAGCCCCAGCTACTCAGGAGGCTGAGGCAAGAGAATCTCTTGAACCTGGGAAATGGAAGTTGCAGTGAGCTGAGATCACGCCATCACACTCCAGCCTGGGCAACAGAGTGAGACTCTGTCTCAAAAAAATAAAAATAAAAATAAAAAATAAAATAATAAGCTTGTCATGTGTTAACATTTTTATGAAAGATAATCGTGTTCCAAAACAAAAATAAAATACTGGAGGAATGGCATTGTTTGACATGTTCATATATTTCTTTAATGTCAGAGTTAATACAAGTTAGCTGGATCTTCCATCGGCTTCTACATTCAGTCTGCTGCGATGTCAGGCGTAAGTAGCTTCTGGACAACTCCCCTGTCCACTTCTGAGGGGCTGAGCACGGAAGAGACCCATGGCACACAGCGCCGTCCTTCTCCGTGTGCCCTTAAGGAGTCCTCCTGATCCAGTCCAGCGCCGCATGGGGAAGGCATATGGGCGGTACCAGTCTTTCTGGAGAAGCACCTGCTGCACAGGCCCTAGTCTCCGAGCCCACTGGGAGACGCACAGATTCTCCAATCGATACAATAAGGAGTACTTAGGGAGACAGCGCTCTTTCAAGAAAACCCAGTAAAACTATGTCTTTCTCAGCCTGCTTAATCCTTTATCGGCTTCTCTTTTCTTTTCCATCCCTAATGCTCACTCCCCTTCTTTCCCCACTTTTATTTCTCTAGCCTATTTAAAAAACTAAATTTAAGTCCATTTTAAGTTTCGTTTTTGTTTTTTCTTAAGAGACAAAGTCTCACTCTTGCTCAGGATGGAGTGCAGCGGTGCGATCATGGCTCACTGCAGCCTTGACCTCCTGAGCCCAAGCGATCCTCCTGCCTCAGCCTCACAAGTAGCTGGGATTACAGGCACAGACCACCAAGCCCAGCTAATGTTTTTTAATTAGTTTATTTATGTATTCATTTTTGTAGAAGTGAGGACTCCCTATGTTGCTCAGGCTGGTCTCCACCCAGCTAATGTTTTTTAATTTTGTTTTGTAGAAGTGAGGTGAAGTAAGGTTTTTTTATTTTTTATTTTTTGTAGAAGTGTTGGGATTACAGGCATGAGCCACTGTGCCTGGCCATTTGAAGTATTTCTTATATTTGGCTGGGCACAGTGGTTCATGCCTGTAATCCTAGCACTTTGGGAGGCCAAGGCAGGCAGATCACCTGAGGTCAAGAGTTCAAGAGCAGCCCGGCCAACATAGCAAAACCCCATCTCTACTAAAAATACAAAAATTAGCCAGGTGTGGTAGTGCATGCCTGTAGTCCCAGCTACTCAGAAGGCTGATGCAGGAGAATCACTTGAACCCAGGAGACAGAGATTGCAGTGAGCCAAGATCATGCCACTGCACTCCAGCCTGGGCAACAGAGCAAGACTCTGTCCCCAAGAAAGAAAGAATTTGTTGTATTTAATATGTTCTACAGCACCTCATTAAACTTCTGTTACAGAACTCACGTCATTACTTCATTCTGTCTTGTATTATCATTAAGTGGTTGACAGGCGTCCTTGTTAAACTGTCAACTTCAACGAAAGAACCCTGCTTTAGTCCTTACTCACACATTGTTCTTTTAACAAGCATTTAGGGAGCATCTGCAACATGTCAGGCAATGGACACAGCCAGTTCATCCTCCCAGGACCACCCCCAGGAGGCGCAGTCCCCAAAGGGAAGACCACACACAGACATCCAATTCCAGCACAAAGTGTCGGCAACATCTCAGGTAGAGCACCTGAGATGCTGTGGGGGATCGGAGATGGCTGTGCTTTGAAGTAGGATTTCTTCTTGCCTTTCTTTTAATTTTTAAGATTGACATAGAGTTCACACACCATATAATTCACCCACTTAAAGTGTACAAGTCAGCAGTTTTTAGTACATTCACAACTGTGCAACCATCACCACTATCTGACTCTGGAACATTTTCATCACCCCAAAAAGAAACCTTATGCCCGTTAACAGTCACTTCCCATTCCCCCTCTTCCCAGCCCCTAGAAATAGTCGTCTACTTTCTGCTTCTATAGATTTGCCTATTCTAGCCACTTCATATAAATAGAACCATACAATCTGTGGCCTTTTTCATGTCTGGCTTCTCTCACTTAGCACAAAGTCGTCAAGGTTCATCCGTGCTGCAGTGGTATCACAATTTCACTCCTTTTCATGGCAGAATAATATTCCGCAGTATGCCCATACCACATTTCGTTTATCCATTCATCATGTGACACATGGAGGAAGTTTTGAGGGATGAGTCTAAGAGGTGAAGATCACGGGGAATGGCATCCAAAGCAGAGGGCAAGTTAAACTAAGAACAGAGAAAAAGGGAAAGCGTGGACAGGGCCTCCTTCAGAGGACACATGGCACAGCGGGAGGAGGGCAGCAGATACGGCAGGGAAGCACCCCAGGTTGCCTGCTCATGGCAACCACCACAGGCTGGCTGCTTTTCCTCCCTCATCCCTCCTTTTTGGGGACTTTCTTTTTCCATTTCCTCTCATTTCTTTTTTTTATTTATTTATTTATTTTGAGACGGAGTCTCGCTCTGTTGCCAGGCTGGAGTGCAGTGGTACAACCTCGGCTCACTGCAACCTCTGCCTCCTCGTTCAAGCAATTCTGCTGCCTCAGCCGCCCGAGTAGCTGGGATTATAGGTGCCACCACCACACCCACCTAATTTTTGTATTTTTAGTAGAGACGGAGTTTCACCATGTTGGCCAGGATGGTCTCAATCTCTTGACCTCGTGATCCGCACACCTCAGCCTCCCAAAGTGTTGGGATCACAGGCGTGAGCCACCAAGCCCAGCCTCTCATTTTAAATAACAGTTGAAACAATTACATATCAGATCATCTTCATCAGCTCATCTTACCTCCAAGCCACAGAAAGTCATTCACAGAACGCAGCAGCTCCACTGACATGTGGTAATGTACCAGGGAGTCCTGCAGCATCCCTGCCTGCAGGCACAGGTCCCCCACGTGCTTCCGCATGCGGCCTTGGCACCGCTTCTTGTAATGTCTAGAAAATAAATGAAAATGTATCTTTATTACTATACAACTCCCACCCAGAAAGCACTCTGACTAAGCACTATTCAATTCTCTCACTACTAAAAATGCTAAGAAGGCAACTGTAGGCTCTATAATTTTAAGTCAGCAATAATCATTGCCAGTTATGTGAGCCGGAGTGGTCTTGACTTCAAAAATGTACTCCAAGCAATTTTTTTAAAGGTGATAGGTACATAAGGACTTCTACCATGTATTTCACGTAGGCAATGTTAGAGTTGGATTTTTCTTTTTAGATTTTTCAGTTGTAACATTAGCATAAAGAAGTCTATGTTTCAGCTTTTTAAAAAAATCAACTATCTGCCACTTCTTAACATCAAACTTATTATTATTTTATAAAGAGAGCTAGGCTGCGTCTTATTAGCCAACCATTTGGCTTTAGCAAATAAGACGTTTATCCTCACTATTTCAGGGCAAGCTTTAGGAAAGCGTTCAGAGGGCAGGGCCTGGGGTGCCCACTAACAGCTCTTTAAACATTGGCAATGATATGCTATTAAATAATGCAAAGGCTTCTGAGTCCCTATCAACTCAGAAGCCAAAGCAACTGTACCAAAATATTCCTTTTATCATTTTTAAATACTTCTAATCTTTAAATGTTATATTTCTTAAGACAGATGATTTTTTTTAAAAAGAAAAACTGCAGCTGGATTAAACTTTCCCTCATCGAGAAAGCAGTCTTATCAAGAATAAAACTCCTTTGGAAATCCAGAGGATGTGACGTTTTTTAAGTAAATGAATGTTACTGATACATCTCAATATAATGTTAAATCCTATCATGTCTAACTCTAACGAGTTACAAACTCTTTGTTACTCTGGAATTTAGCTTTTCCATTCTACATGTGTTTGGAATAAAGATCATGATGTAAGGCAGATGCAGAAAGAAGGAGAAATGCCAGCCTTCATTTGTCTCCTTCCTGGCCACAAGGCAGTGTCAGGATGGCCCCTGTTAACAGACCCTCACCATAAGAAAATACAGCATCTGGTAGGGCACAGTGGCTCACACCTGAAATCCCAGCACTTTGGGAGGCCGAGGCGGGCAGATCACGAGGTCAGGA